CTGGGCCTCAGGGCCATGTGCAGACAAAGTACAGCTTGGAAACCTCACCCCAAACATGTTTGCTGCTGTACATTATTTCTGCGTTCCCAGGTTCTGCAAGTGGTCAGCAGTGGTCGACTTTCTTGCCTCTCTCCTGCTCTTGCTTTAGCTGTCTACTGGTGTGTTAAATTACACCTGAATAAAATAATCTCTTTGTGTATTTTTCAGAAATATGAAACTAATGTTGGGGCTCAGGGATCCCAGCTGTCTCGTGGGCAAAAGCAACGCATTGCCATAGCAAGGGCCATCATACGAGACCCTAAAATTTTATTACTGGATGAAGCTACGTCTGCCTTAGACACAGAAAGTGAAAAGGTAAATGCGCAGTGATGATATCGATAAGGAAAAGTTAATGGCCTACAATATACATAGCTGGTCCATACCACCTTTTCTGTTCTATAGATATGCCAGCATACTCTGCTGCATGACTGCACATTATTCCAAATTGTGAATTCAGCACTTTCACCTTTAATGATCTTTCTGAGGAGTGCCTGCACTTCAGGTACAGCTGTAAGAAAAAGCAGCCAGCCCCAGGTGCTCTTAAACTTCTGAAAAGAGAGGCAGCACTTCTTCAGAAATGTCTGAATTGCCTGGATTTCAAAGCATTCAGTTGACATTTAGCATGGCAGCAGAGTAAAGACCTTCCTTTATTTCTACCTCTATGTTTAGCTGTCTCTTGTTTGTAATACTGGTAAACAGAAGTCATGACCTAGCTAAGCACATCAATATCGGAATCTCTGATTTAGTCCCACTGTCCCTTTTACAAGTGTTGCACAATATGGTTAATTAATCTGAAACAACTGGGTTCCTCCAGCTCTGAGCCCTGTTGTATTTGCACATTTTTATTCAGACACTTTGTCTGTTGCCTTTAGACTGTGCAAGCAGCGCTGGATAAAGCCAGAGAAGGGCGCACCTGCATCATCATCGCCCACCGCTTGTCCACCATCCAGAACGCTGACATCATTGCTGTGATGTCCCAAGGACTCATCATTGAAAGGGGCACTCATGATGAACTGATGGCCATGGAAGGAGCCTACTGGAAACTTGTTACTACTGGAGCCCCAATTAGCTGAATTACTGTGATTCTCAATTTGAAAGATTTCTGTAAGCAAATACTTTGTGGTAGGTATGTGTATGTTGGTGCTCCATTGTGCTACAGAGGGAGTGCTCTACAATACAGTGAGATCTGTGGAACCCTTAATGTATGTAGCTGTCTGCATCAGGCACACTTGGCCAGCACATGCAAGGCACTAAGCACAGGCTGATGCATTTAGGAAGTATCTTAGTCCACTGATAAGGGAAAAAAACCCTGAAACTGGGAAAGATCTTTCCTGGTGATTTGGGGAGTTGCCACTACCTGCAGTCAGACTGCACAGTCCTTTGATGCCTCACCTAGCAATCAAGGAATACTCTGGTGTTCAGGAAACTGTCCTTTCTCTAGGTAAGCTGAATGAGTGAAAACAACCCTTCACATGATGCTGTACATCTGAAGGGACCCAATCTGTGCTAACGTTTGGTCTGCAGATGATTTCAGCAGAGGCCTTTCCTGTGCATGCAGAAGCCCCACTCTTTCACCCACTGTGCCACACACATCAGCTGTGCTGTTGGGGGAGGCTGGGCTTCCCTTGTGTGCACCTGCAGCACTGACACAGCTGTGCCCCTTCAACAAACCACTCAGTACTTACAAAGAGGGCAGCTCCACAAAAGTAAGGAAAGCAACCAAGGTAAGGAACAGAAGCTGGTGAGGATCATTTCCTAGTCCACCACTCTCCAGCTAATACTCATCATTCTAATCAGCTGTCAAAAAGATTTTTGAATAGGAATAAATGCCTTGGTTAAATTAATGTAAAATTCTATGGTTAATAATCAGTTATTTAAGCCACTTCTACTGAAATGGTGATGGATATGTTCTTTTTTCAGAAGGTAATGCAATCATGAGTGCAGGTGGGAAAAATAGGCATTATTAGTTCTTTGTATTAAATACAGTTGATAACAGAGCAACAATATATTCATAAATTACAATGGTCAGGAAGGAGCTTCTTTTGGTAGAAACCTGTATCTGTCACAGTTTATTGTAGCATCTACTACAAGTTTCACTGAAATATGTTATTGGTTATTGTCTGCAGCAGAACAGGACTGTTTCCTTTAGTGACTAGGATCTTGGAGAAAAGCAGATAGAAAGAAAGTTTCAATATTTAAATATTAATTTTAAACAACAGAGTATTAACTGGAGGTCATTCTCCATGTCCTAAAATCTGCATCTGGGCTGGGTAGGGGGTGGGCAGGCAAGTTTCTACTCACTTTATAAGAAGTCACACCACTTCTTATAAAACACTGCAACAGTAGCAGTACTGTAAATAGAGCTGTAAGGGTAAAAATGTTATTAGGATACATCCCTTAATTCCAGGTAGCAAAACACAATTTCAACTTTTATACAACTCCATTAACAGAATCACTTCCACATAGCCTACTGAAATCACACAACCAGCACTGAAATGGCAATTTCTCTACGGAAGTCTGTATTTTAAACCTTAACTGAAAAGTAAAAGAAAAAGCTGCATTATTTGCTTTAATCTTTTTAACCTTTTTACATTTCAGAGCAATAAGTAGTTTGATGGCTCAGGAAACTATTGACAGAGTGACTATCAATAACCTGCAGACATACGTATATGGTATTTAATTAATATTATTATTTAAGGACACAGAAAAATAATAACTCTTCATTAAAAATTACGATGACTATGTAAACTTATTTAATAATTCTTTTTCCTAAAGGGCAATACCTTTGTGACCCAAATTAAACCAATAAATTGTATTTTTTTACTGGCTCTTGTGCTCTAGCATTTCTTCTCTTACCCTTCAGCTAAGCACTGAGTATCTGGCAGCAGCCAGCAAGTACCATGTCTGTGACAAGGGTTTGCTGTTCAGGACAGAGCTGCAGACAAGGCCAACTCCTGCCTGCACAGGAGCCTGCTGTCTCCCTGCAGGAGCACAGGGCCAGGGCCCAAGCTGGGTGATTGTGTTGCTGCTCTTCAGTATAACGTTATCCTCTTTCCAGGCAACTGGGAAACAGAGAGCTAAATTTTGGGAAGGGTGCTACTCCAACAGATTCTTTGTCAGTGTTGGGAAACAGAGACTCTCACGTGATTAGAAGCCTCGAAATGTGATCCCTACCCATAACTCCCAGCTTCAAATTGCCACCAAATGCAAATGCTATTGTAAGAACCTTGGACAGCTGTGCATGAAGAATCTCCTACTGCTGGCTAGGAGGAGCCAGGAACAGAACAACAACTCAATCAACCTGCTACTGCTCTGCGAAGGCTTTGAAGGTCCTCTCACATGGTAGGGAATAACAAAGCACACAGCAACTTGAACACAGCTGAAATTTTTGTCCCAGCTGTCTTTGTTCTTCATTGTTTGTGTCTAGTCCCATGAACTTAGTGATTTTGGTTAAGGAGTCGCAATTATAGAAAAGAGTGGTTTCAGGTCAGCTGCTGTGGGAAGAAGTTCAGAGAACCATTAGAGAAGCTATCAGGAGATACATGAGGCAGAATACTCCTCAGACTTAAAAGCAGATGATTAATTTTCTTAAGTCATGGTAGTCTTACTAGGCTCTTAATTAAGGATGCCTGTTTCAGATTTGTTTCTATAATTTGTATCTTGTTCATTCCCAAAGGCCAACACCAAACTATTTACCTTGTTTACCCAATTAAATAAGATTCTTTCAATTACCTCCTACCTAATTGGAAGTCTAGAAGCAATATAATGTTTACATTCTCTAAGTCTTACTGCTTTCAGATCATATATATGCAGCCCTCATTACTCATACCAGGCATACTAAGGCTATATATATATATATATACATATATAGACAGAGAGAGAGAGAGTTTTATGGGATGGTATCAGCAAAGTACTACTTAAAGATTGTGCACTGAAAGGGAATATATAACAATAGATGCCAAATAATGAATAAAATGGAAAGTACCCCTTTAGAAAATCCATTTTATATAGCAAACATATATTCAACATATTAGTTACTTGTGTGCTTAGTTAAACAAAGAATAGAAACTTGAAATGACAGTCTGCAACCATATTTTCATGATTTACACAACTGCTAACAGTGATTCAGGCTTGTGACTGTTGATCTGAGAGAATTAGCAGGGAATTAACTTTGCAATACAGGAGGACGAACAACATTCTTGAGGTCATATACTGAGATAGTTTCATTATTGACACCTTTTTTCATTTGTTGCTTTGTGTAGATGTACAGAAGCCAAACATTTTTACACCATATTTAAGCATTTTCCCTATCAAAGTTGTGATCTGTATAATTCATGACTCATGTGACCCCTTCCAAAAAGTAAAAATGACAAAAACCACACAGTAATGCAAAAATAAGAGTCCAATGGAAATAAACTTTTTTTTTTCTCATCTGACTTAATCAGAAGCTGGTTTGCTCAGGAAGCTCAATAAATTAAACCTAAAGCCTTGTTTATAACTATGCTGGCCTTCTTCACAGTGCCTGGGTACAGTAGGTGGTTTGATACTGTCACACCATTATGTAGCAGTATAACACACAGTATCTATTTATAAAAAAATGAAACATTGAGTATCACTATGTACAGCTGATGCTTGAAGCATTATCTAGCTAGAGATGGACAGAACTAGAAGACCACCATATAGCTAAATAAAGATGGTTGGTTATACTTTAAAACTTCATTATGACCCAGAGTATTGAGCCGTTTCTAACCATACTGCAGTGCGCTTGCAATATTTCTAGGAATAAAATCAGCAACTAATATGTCTCAGCTGCTTGAGTGTACTGATTTTGGATGTACTGGTTACTTACCAGGAGCACATCAAAGATGCAGCAGCATCCCCTTGGTTTAAATGAATTAGCAAAACTGCCTGTGCAGGGGGTTCTCAAACAGTTCACATTGCTAACCATTTTGAAACTTTACCTAATTAAGTTTTTTTTCGGTTGTCCTCATTAACGAGTGGACACAGTATGGAACCAAGGCAACTACAGTGAGAGGCATAGCTGCGCTCTTGCAAAAAGAGAGAATGTAGAACAAATACTCAGTATGAGTAGGTATCTTAACAAAATTATACAGCTGCAGGGTAGCTAAAGAAGCAGCTATACACAATATGCGGAAACTTATCTTGCAGCTATTTTTACCTTTGCAGCTCGTGATGAACATTTCAGAATTGATTCCAAGACCTAAACCAAAGAGTGCACCTAAATTCCTCACCAGTCCAGCAAATGGAGTTGTGTCAATGTTTATCCAGTCTGGGTTGGCACACCACTTCTTAGCCTTTGGAACAGACCATAGCAAGTCAATATCAAGAAGCTTGAGGGACAGATAAAAGCCAAGGGCAAAAAGGAAAAGAAACAAGTTTGTCTTGATGTACATTCTCAAGCTTGCTGTCTGAATAGCAGGGGTATGCTCAAACGCTTCTGCCACAAGAATGCCTGTGGATTAGAAACTCAGTGTTACAAGGAACAACACACTTGTACTTTGAAAAGCATTTTTTACAGTGTCCCTATAGAATTTGACTTTTAAAGACAGAAGAATATATCTATGTAATAAATACCTACATGTGTGTCTATATATATTTATACACACACATATACATACACAATTTACCCCTTTTGCAGTACATTACAAAACCTTTCCTCCCACTCAAAACTGCCACTTTGGAAAAAAAACCCCAAAAAACCAAAAACCAAGCACTACATGGTTTTGATATGAGGCATACCTTAAGGCCTGACTGCATCTCCCAGATGACAACCTATCAAATATTAGATGTAAACTGGAACATTCCTTTTCCAAAAGAGTCCCTCACTCAAAGACTGGCTCCAGCAATGCAGAATTCAACACCAGTTCCCACACAGGCTTTGAGTGTTGAAGGAAAAGACACAGAACACACTTATCTTCTCTTGTACTCATTTTATCCTGGTTGTGAAGAGGGAAAGCTGTTAGCCAGGGCTGCCCAGGCTGCACTGCTTTCATGAAAGAGAACATGAGCAGGAAGCCCCTGCTCAAAGCACTGGTCACCCTCCTTAAAATCATATACATACCAGAGACACTGCTTATAGTTTGCACTCCCTGAGTACCAATTTATAATATGCTTAAGTAACTCTGAAAAATGTATTTTAGCATCTTAAATCACCCAGGGGAGTTTGTCCTGCTATTTACAATTTTTTTTCATTTTGCCCCAGGTCTCTGTGTTTGTCCACATTGCACACATGCTATTTTGCACCTGGACGCCATTTGAAGTGACCCGAATATCTTCCTCCTGAGAGGAAAGGTCAGAGCCATGGAGGAGCAATTTCCTCTCTGATGTCTTCCACAGTTAAAGATCAGATGCAGGCAGTCCAAAGCAGTCACAGCCAGTCTGGGGCAGTGTGGACAAAATACAGTCAGCATCAACTGGCATGTGGACAAGGGCTCACTCCCTCACTGTGAATTACACAGGCACCAGGCACATTCTACCTTACAAATTTTACCTTCGGACTAAAATCAAATCGCTGATTTTCCAGAGAGTGGAGAGCATCACCAGGGCTGCAAGACAAGTCCAACTACTAAAAATCTCTTGTCTTCTCTCATATTTAAAAAAAAAATAATTGCATATAGGTTAAAAAGGAAAGAAAAAATAGCAGCATTACCAGCAAATACTCCAAGAACAACTTGATGAGGGAAATGTGTTGCTATAAATACTCTTGAGATGCACACACTGATCTGGATAATCCAAAAAATACTCCAGAGGAATGACCATGTTAGTCTAAGAGGGAAAAGGAAGATGCTTAAAAATTAAAACAAGATATTTCATCTACTTATTTACCCCAAAACCCATCATGTAAGGCTCATGCTTTTACCAGCACACGTTTACTGAGTAGTTTAGAATCAGATGATTAAAAACTTGAAGTCAGTACTAAAATATTATCAAAAGCAGTTACAGGAAAAGATCTCAGAAGTTTCAGGTCAAAGACACCTCTGTGGTTTAAGTGATGAAAGTCATCAATGGCAGATTAAATTAGGACTAATACTTTAAAGAGATCTCTCATCATGAAGTCATAACTATATGCAAAACTCAATTATTTCATGACAAAATTCACACAGCGTGAAAACAACCTTGCAGCCTTAGAAAGAACAGCCACCAAAGCAATTGCAGGACTTTCCCATAGAGCTGAGCAACACATTACAGTGAATTTTGTCAGCATTATGTGAAGATTCAGGACTGATTCATAGATATTGTATGCAATGTCTGTATTTGTATGCAATGTCTGTAAATAAATACCAGACTATACAAACAGATAAATCCTCTTAATATACTTCTTCTTCAGCTGAAGTAGAGCATAATAAAGAGTTGTTGTTTTTTTTCACAAAATAGACCAAACTGTGAATATTTGTTTAAATTAAGTCCACTAAAAACATAGCATATATTTAAAGAAATATCTGAATATAATGAATTGGAATCATGGAAAGACACTGACCTGTGAAGAGTAACAGCTGATTTATCTTTCCATCTAACTGTGTAGCTAAGTGCTGCTGTGACCATTACGTACCAAACACAGGATGATCCCATTGCATGTCCAGATGGGCTTCCTAGTAAAAACAAAAAGGAAATATTCAACTCAAGAATGAAGACTGTGACATCTGTCATACAGAAAATGTCTACTGGTAGTTACTCAGGCACCTAATAATTTAGAAGGAAAATGGCTAACAAAGGCTGAAACTGCTTCTCAAAAGTTAATTTTTTCCATAAGAATTTTTCAGAAGGTTCATCTATAGGGAATCCATTATACTTGTCTGAAATAAAAAAGGTAATAGCTTACTCATTTTATATTGGTGTGAGTTGGAATCTTGATAGGAAATTTTCCCATTACTTGGGATTAAAAAATTTTAAAAAGCACCTAGGGCTGTCTTAGAGCTGTAGCTGTCTTAGTAGAAATTATGTATGAGGATCACATAAAAGAAAGTTTTGAGTGAGCCTCCCCATAATTAACAGGAGCAACAGGAATTTGGCTCATTCTAAACTAAAGGACCAGTAAAACTTTAGATAGCACTTCCAAGCTGCTTTTTATCTGCTTCTCCAATTACCATGGTGTTAACAATTGTGAGCTGTGTCTCATTAGCAATATTACAATGCAGGTAATTAACATTTTGAGTAGTTTTGTAATAATTTTAGAAATGCATCTGAAACACAGAAAAAAATGTGTCTTTATGATTTACTTTGATTAATTTTATAAAGTTTAAGGTGCTGTAAAATATCAACCAGATTAAAAGCAGATTGTCAATGAAACTGGCACATGATATGACGCTCTAATTGCTGTACCCACAGGTACAGCACACAGTAGTCCACCTACAGCAGTCTATAATAGGGAACACTCTCTCATATAGAGAACAATAGTGATTTCTTTTTAGTCCAGGTATGTGTGTAATTTGTTTTAATTTAAAAAGTAAAATCTCAATTTTACTGGAAGCAATATGAAACCACAGAGAAGTTGCTGCAACTGTGAAAATCACAATAAAACAAGGTACGATGACATGATGCAAGGGAAGTGATTCCTAAAATTACTCTGCAATTTCCTTTCTCATGTTCACCAGATTTACATTCAACAAATCAAAATAGGGAAAGAAAAAATTAGATCATTGGAATCTGTAAACCTGGGACCTTAACATCTTGGCTTTCTGTGGAGACAGAGAAGGGACAGGGTTATTTCACTATCAGAAGAAATAATTTGGGCTCAAGAATGTGTTATGAGCCAGTAGTGTGTAGAGTAAAAGAATATTTCAGTGAAGTAGCAAAGCAGAAACATCTAAGCAGGACGAGCACAATGATTTTTAACTCCCTGCATTCATTTTTGCTATTTGGCTTGGCACTACATTTAGAGTCACTCTACCAGTTCTTTTGTTAATTTCCTATCAGATGTGCACTCCTAAACCTCACAATGGAACAAATGACACTGATGAGGAAACAATAATGTTGTATGTCAGCAATGGAAAAGCATCTCTTTGTTGTCATCTAGGAAAATGCCATCTAGGAATAATATTTCTTAGCTTATCTGCAAATTACCTACTCAAAACAGCATAAATTCTATGCTAAGGTTTAGATTCTTAAAGTTTTACAAACATTAGAAAACAAATGGCTGCTGGGTTTTAGTTCAGTTAATTCCAGAAATGCAAACCAAATTCGGGTCCTAAACTGTTTGCCATGTAGTCATATGAACAGTTCCCTCAGCTTTCCCTTTTGCTGAGACATGGAGTTTGGGGTTCAGGCTATCCTAGCAGTATTTGGAGCTGCTTTTCTCATGTCTGTGGCTGCTTCTCTAATCTTTTAACATAAATTGCTATTTTAAAAGTATGTAAGCTTATACAATGATTGTGTGCGTGTAACACCGGCACTGACTGTGCCTCCTCTTGCTAATGAGAAACAGGTCAGTGACAGTCTTAATGGTCCCGTGCAAGTCTGGAGGTGGGAAAAAATGTGGTCATTATAAGTGCAAGGAAGGAATCAGTATGACAGTTGTACCCACTGGACAGAAATAGGAATGACCTTTCAGAAAGACAGTAACAAGAGGAAACGCCTTCTGGTTCAATGAATCAAAATGAAACACACTGACTGTCTCCTGAGCCAGGGCTCGGATCTACACAGCACTGATTGGGCTCAGTTCTCAAGGCTTTTGAGGAGATCTGAAGGCTTCAATACTTTGTGTTAGGTATCAAATGAAGTAACTTGAAAGAGACTGCAGACATAAAGACCAGGCATTATTAAACCCTGCCTCATACAAGGGTTTAAGCTTCTTGCTCACAATTACAATGGGATGTAATGCAGAGTACTGTTAACAAAATACAGCTATGCAAACTGTTTCAAAGCTTCCAGTGGCATCGACAAGATGCAAAGCATATAATTTCCACAGTTGGTATTTTCTTGCACAACAAATTAAACTAAATTCAGTTAGCTCAATGCAAGTTCATCTTATTGCACCTATTAGGGTTGCACAAGTTCATTTAGCTTGATCAGTATTGCATTTGATTTCCACAGAGAAAATAATGAGACATAAAAAGTGAAAATATATTGAAAAGGTACAATTCAAAAATAATTTTTCCCCTTATATTTGTACACATACTCCCACACACACATTCAGTGGCAGTGTCTGGTTCTGGTTCTTTTCCCCTTGTGATACATTATGTAATCAATTGCTGAGACTATTGTTATTTGCACTGAATCATCTACTTAGTTTATGGGGTTTGAATATTTGTGGCAACAGCAAACAAGCCCTCAAACTCAACAGCCCTGGGACCTGACTTGGAACCCAATAAACAATGTATTTCACAAGTTTTGTGAAAATTTCTTTCCAATACCCCAGTTCATTCTAGTAGTAGTTATTTTTAAAGCAAGTCCCCCTCCCTTGCATCTTTTAAAGGAAAAGAAGGAAATACTCTTGTCATACAGCAAATACCTACCTATTGTATTTCTTCCTTTTCCTCTACTTGTTTTGTGTGCTATTTTATGCATGAGCTCTGAGATTTCTGAATCATATGAGACCTTCCTAAGTGCCATTCTCTCCCCCTTGAAGCCGCTATCCCTATCAAATATACCAAGAAAATCTGCAACATTTCTTACCTGGTCCAGTTTCACATGTTATAGGAAACTGTTCAAGGCATGGGCTTGACTGATTAGGATAAATCATTGTTTCTTGCACCCACCAGTAAGGGCGATGGCCGAATAAAATCCTGACCCCCCAAAAAAAAAAAAAAAAAGGAAGAAATTAAATTAAAATATTTTTACATAAGAAGGCCTCAGCAAAGCATGATAAAGAATCTTACAAATAATATGAAGAGCTCTATTTGCAAAGCTAATTATTCTATAATAGTTCTACAGGTTCTTCTCATCTTATTACAAGGTTGTTTCAAACATATCTTCAATATCTTCATTGTGAATTTCTATTTTATAATTACCAGGGAAAAATCTACTAGTACATTATTCACAGAAAATTTTCTAAACTTGAGGTACATATAATAACTATTATTAAAAATACCAAATTTTTCTTACCATTTAAATATGAGGTTGAACCAGTCACCAATGACAGCCACCCATATCATTTTAGTACCAACCACTTGGTTGAGCTGAAACCAAAGAGGAAAATAAATTGAAAATATATTCCGAGGATCACCAACATGTGACATAAAATTAAGGAAATCCTGGTAAGCCCTGTAGTCCCTCTGTAAATGCTGAATGATAAGCACTCCATTGCTGTGGAGGAGATCCATCTTAATGGATTAAACTATACTTGAAATACAGTAAAGTTCCTTTAATCTTAAGTTTCTAGTGACAGAGAATGAGAATCATGTAGGGGAGCTATTAAAAAGTGAGAGAAGGTGATTGACGTTGCCTTTATATTATATTGGTGTGGTGTACCCAGCCATTCCTGAAACACGTGGCTCCAAATCTCTGGGAAAGCATACGAGTCTGCTAGCACTGGAAAGCTTTTTTGTTTGCAAATTTTAATTGTAGGAAGCTAAGTGAAGTACATGTTAGTACATGCTGAGCAGCAGCAAATTGTGGGGAAAGTTTTGTGGAAACAAAATGTGTGACTCGTGCAATCCTTTGTAGGAGCAGCTGGAACATGTTTGCCTAAACTTTTTCACAGTTCATTTCTCAGCAGGATGGACATCTTACTAATGTGTGTGCTTCATTAAGTGTTGCCTGTGCAGAGGACAGAAAGAATACACAAATTACTGATCTTCACAGAACTGTCACAGAAGCTGTACATTTCACTTTGAAACAGAACTTGGCTGTTACTAATACTTTGCACAACACATTTTTTCAGTCAGGGAAAATGCAACCAGTATCCCTATATCAACCATGCTGTCGAGCTCTAGATTTATTTTTAAAGCAACAATATTCTTAAAATACCGAAAACCGATTGTTTCCTTCCTACAAGAGGCCTGTTAATCCAGGCCCAATGCAGACGATGCTCAGAGTGTGAGTCATCTTTCGGTACCACCATTCTTGGGCATTGCTTACACGGCACCAGTCCTGCACCCTCTGCCAGGAGGAGCTGCAGCCCCCCCTTCTGCTGCCCAGCCAGACAGAAATGAGACCTGCTGTACGAACCACAGCAAGGCTGGGAACACATCATCAGGAGTATTTCCCTGAACTATTCCCAAGTGAAGCACAGCAGTTCTCCAGAACCAACAGCCAAGAGCAAACAGAGTCTGCCAAACTGCAGGAGTTTAAAAGATTTCAGCAGACAATATATTAGCATATCAGATTTATCAATATTAGTACTAATAACTGTAGCATAAAATATTACGTTCATTTGAGGTGGCTTCATGAAAAAACTTTTTCTACAAGAGATTAAATGGATAATAAAAGCCTGATGATACCAACTTCTGATATAATCAGAGGAAAACTTCAAGCTCTTTATCAGGCTCTAATATTCTGATGTAGTCATATCTTATATCAAATTATTATCTGTGTATCTGAAACAGTGGGAGTCAGAAGACAAAAGCAGCTCTATATATGGAGTGCACACTTCCCTAATACTCTTTCCATGCACTTCAAGCTAAACTGCACAAGCTGTGGAGACAAAGATATGAACCACTTAACTGTTTTTGCTGAAGAGGGGCTTAATGGCTTAAGAGGGCTTCATGATGTGTGGTCAGGGAAGTCACATGGAAACACTAAGTAGATTCAACAAATAAGGCATGACAATTAAATGGACGTAGAAGATTTCTCTTCCTGACACAACCTCACATTTACTTTAACTACTCCCATTTACTTTAGCTAATAATAGTCTGGTTTCAGAAATTTTTTAGCAGATTTAAATCCTGTATGTTTCTTGCTACCAATTGCATTAAGCCATATAGAAAACCTTAAAGTTAAAAGTTTCAATGTGCTACTTCTGAATAACTACAATATTTTTCTATATACTGACCGAATTATTCACTTTAACTAGTGGTATCTGATTTCAAGGGAAACCCTTCCAGATTCAAAATTTCAGGATATTTAAAAAAAAAATCCATCCTAGATTTTTTAGCTGAAAATATTTGAGGATGTTTTGTTTCTTGCTAAGTTGTATACCTTTACTGTTTTCCAGAGTGTGCAGCAAGGCAACTCTCATAGAAATGAATGGAAGGAATTAATATTCTCTCTCCCAGTACTTCCTCAAGACCATACTTATTTAGAAATCTCTCTCCAATAACTCTTTGTACTCTCTTGCTGAAGAAAACGTTCTTTCGCTACATTTTTTTACAGCTAAAGTATCTTGCCTTTAAAGATAAGTACGACTTACTATAACAATAAAAATATCACTCTTTTAGACATGTCTGGGTTTAGTATGCAGAAATGTAGAAAATCTGAGGTCTGCTGTTTTCCAATCTAGTTCAGCAAGGACAGTTAGCTTCAAACATGAGTGCAAATGCCAAGTCAGTTGGCAGCTGAATAACAGACATCTTACTTCTAGTACTTGGTTGAAAGAGTAACAATTATAATGAAGTTAAGTCTAAATAACTATTGTCCTATTAGGAAAAAATACTTTGCAGTCCATAACTTTCCATCAAATACAATTTAATGTCCTCAGGAGAGTCTACCAAGTAATAAAATAGGTCATTTTACAGTCCCTCTTTAATGGCACCACTGTTAGTCAGTGGTATCTGAAAAACTGCCTCTGACACAGGATGTGCAAAAGCATTGCAATAATTGCAATAACTTTTTGCATGTTTGCTTTATTTATAAATTCCCACCCACCCACCCATATTATCTATGCACTAGGACAGCGATGCATCTGCTCAGGCTGACCTCTCCAGACAGAACCCCTCAGGCACACTTTGGCTCTCCAGAAACATTGTAAATTTAATGCTTGAAGATATGTCTTGGCAATGTTTCAGTAAAGTAACCTCTTTTAATATAAATGCTCAAGACCTCTTGATATTAACTTCCAGGATTTTGCTGCTGAGTCTTATGCTTAGATAGAGAAAGATAAGCACCTTAGACATAATAAAGACTAACAGCAAGAGAAAAGGCTTTCATTTTCTCCTACATTCTTTCTGAGTCTTTCATTTTCTCCTACATCCTCACCTTAGAGATACCAGAGGAATCATGTTTATAAAGGATGTTTAAAAAACCTCACAGACACCATGGAAGTTTTGGAACAGGTAAGTGTGTTTCTGTGGGAGAGGCAGTTCCCACCGTGCCTGGAGTCAGCCATGATTCTGCTCCATCCAAGAGGAAATCAATAACTGACATGCTAGTAATCTCTTGTCCTGCCTGTTGTGTTACACAGCCAATACAACTCTGAGACACTGAAGACCTTCCCAGCTGTAATAACCAACAAAGATGGTGAAACATGACTTGAAATACTATAGTTAGTAACTTGTTTGACAAAGGAAAAGCACTTCCTCAATAGACCTTCCCTCACTCCTCTATGCAAAGCACTGCAAAAAGCTTCTGTAATCCCCTAGTGCTTCAAACTCACTCAAAATAAAACTATTTGCTGTATTTTAGTATGGGGAATTGCAGGGAACCTAATGATCTATACAAAATGGTCAGAATGTGTAGGCAATTAGGTTTTTAAATTGAAACTTTCTCTTGTTTTGATATTGGAGAGCCAAGGTTTGGCCTTCACATAAATTAGTTCTTAGCTCAAAGCAAAAACCTTTCAAATGTTATCTGTTCATACATTTTAAAATTTATTGATAATTTCTTGATTTACTGTGTTTTCCAAGACACACAAAAACAAAGACTTCATATATACACACACATAAAATGTAAAAGCAAGAGTCATGCTGATGATCCACTGAAGGGAGGATAAAATGTTTACAGCTGCCTTGCACCTCCATATTTGAGCAAATATTACATAACAGTCAACAGATGCTTTTAAGTAAATGTTTGCAAGGCATGGACAAGCCACCAAAGCAAACATTTTTTGAAACACTGTTAATGGACGCCTGTGTAATGGGCCTAACTTTCTGGTACATTATGCTTAGTTAATTGAACAATAACATGAATTTCCACACCAGTATTTCCACTGACACTGGACCAACTACAAGGATTAACAAGCAATTTGCTAAGTTCACCAGCAGACACTCTATACAACAGCTGACAGGCATTTTCTCAGGTGTGAACATTTTCCAAGAAGAACACTGAAAAGATATACCTTAATTTTTTAATTAGGAAGAGAAGAATATTTCAAGAAGCTTGTGCCCTCTCATTTTTTACTTTCTTTCTTATTCCATGTCCTCAAGCATTCCTCATTGGACTCAGGCTTTTTTAGGGTTGAGCTGACCAATAGAGGTTTAGCAATAGTTAACGTGACCCAGTCTCCTTCTCTCCATTCTGCCACCTTAATCCAATCTTTCCCAGTTAGTACAGTCATTACTCTTTGCTATAAAGTTAACTATGCAAGCACACAAAGCCAACAAAACTAATCTGTGCACTATAACAATAACCAGACCTGCCAGACCTTAATATTTGTTTACATTAGTAATGTAAATTAGTTATGTAATTAGATTTCATTCTGTTTATAAGTGCAACAGTATAAATTATACAAACAATGCATGGAATACAATTCTGGCATGCCTATGAAAAAGTCACATATAAGGAATTTTACTTATTTTAAGTATGAAGAACTACCTTTTAGAAATTAGAAGCAACCTAGAGGGGTAAAATTCCTTCAAGTTCCATGAACTGCAGGCAGAAATGGAACTGAACCCATTAGAGCAACAATCCCCAACCCATTTTTTCAATTCCCTTTCCAATAAGATTCCTGTCTTACTGTCACTCTCTAATCCCTAGCCTGCTCTAACTGTTAAAACTAGCTCTATGCCAACTATAGCCCAGGGAGTCAGAAACTTGCCACAAGAAGTAGCTGAGTCAGTTTATTACTACCAGCTTGTCAATTCTGTGCTCCTTTAGAATGTCCTTATAAGCTTCAGCAGCTCTCCAGCCCTGAGCTAGACTTTTCAGCTGCTTCTTAACCCAGAACTGCCCAGGACATACTTTCTGTTACCAATAAAATAAAGCAGCAGATTTTTGTTGGCAACATTCTGCCCTTCAGTTTGACTGCAGGGAACTGTCACCCTGTGGCTGCTGCTGTCCCCTAGGAACCTTGAGTTTAACCAAGTAGGCTGGGCCTAAAAGGACACCCATGAAGAGCTGGACAATGCAGAAATAGCACAATTAATGGTCTCCAGCCAAGCCCATAGTGTTAAAAATAGGGTAAATCACCATGAAACTTTTTTCCATCCATGACTACTCCATGGCTTGCTAGGACAGACATTTGGAAAGCAACAATTCAGAACAATTGTCTGGGCTAGAGTTACGGTGGGTTGGCTGCCAGCATTTCTGTCTATGGAGCCTCTTTAATCAGACCCAGAAGAGGACTGAAGAAGCATCTGACCTGCACTAGTTTGGGCCATGAAGCCACATTCCTGTTTGCAGCTGGAAAAAACCATCAGTTTGAACTGAAAATTAGGACTTGCCAAAATCACTGTGCTTCCCTGAAACACACACTTGGTAAACTGATGGTGGACAGTAGTGGGAAAGGTTGAAGATAGGTTATAGTACAGTTCATGTCTCTCAAAACCTCTAAATGAATCAGAAAAGAGATAAATTAAGGTATGGATTCTGCCAGTAAATGTCACGTGTATTTAGTCTTTGGTGGGTGAAAGTGTAAAACAAAGGAATAGGACTAATGAGTCTAGAAAAACTTCACTGATGAAGAAAAGATACCTAACATTTTTGAGCCAGCTACTGTGGAGTGAACTCATTATCTGCGTTATGCAGCTGTAGAACCCACCAAAAGATTATGGTTGAGAAAACAGGACTTGTTTAGATTAGTTTAACTTGTATTTACAAAACTCCAGGGACTAGGAAAATTGTGTATTCAGAAAGTTATGAACTCAAATAATAAAAGCTAATATTGTCAGGAGCAACACTGAAACTTTATATTAACAGCATGCACTTGCCTAGGCAAGAAATGTTGCTAAATAAAAAAAGCCATAAGGTACAGGTTCAGAGTGCCCAAATCCATTTGCAGCTAGGTAATCATCCTTGGACCAGCCCAACTTCAGCACATTTAAGTGTGAAGCAGGTAAGAAACAGGGGTTTATTAGCTTTAGAAACAATGCTGAGGAAACTGTGAAATCTGGAGAACAATGTGTCCAAGTTAAACAAGACAGGAATACAGTGGGGTAAAAGTGTTTATACAAGAAATCTGTGTAAGAGTAATGGAACTAATGGTTGGTGGTCCCAGCTCAGACTTTGCTAAGCATTGCACAGGTGGAAGATAGTAATTAGTACTTTTAGACAGCAATCCTCAAAGCAATGCTAAATATACATTGTTCTGGGATTACCTAGATAGCACTAGCATAAACTAAATTAGGAGTAATTAATTAGCTATGGTAAAAAAATTATTAAAAGTAGCTTTCTTAATAAACTGAAAGCTGCTACCTTGGATCACAAACTAGTGCTTATCAAGAGCTAAAAGGGAATACAAACAACTGGAGAAAAACCAGTCACATTGTCATAAAGAGCAAACTCACTTTGACAGACATTTATGGCAAATGTTTAGCTGGGTACAGGGAGGGCTGCTGTATGGTGGTTTTGTTTGCACCAAAAGGACTGCAATTACCCCTGCAGGTCATTCTCCTGTCAGAACGAGCTTCATCCACATTCTTGGGAGAATTCAAGTCGGTCAAATTAAAAGGCTATCGGGAAACTCACAAAATTTAAGATCAGTTACCGTAAGTGTGTTCCACGAGTAAACCAGACAGGGGGAACAAGCTGTGCCTTCAGAGGAGCGTAAATGAGCCGCGCTGTTTGCTCAGCACCGAGCAGGCTGTTTCCCCCACCAGCACTGCAGGCAGCAGACTCACACAGCGCCTCCCAAGCAGCAATCCCGAGGGGAACGGGCGGCAGCCAGGAGCCGCCCCTCATAGCACCGCCAGCCCGCCCCGCCATGGCGGCCGCGCCCCTCACGCTGGCCGCGCCTCGCGCTCGTCACCGCAGCAACGGCCGGCGGGCCCGGGGCGGGGCTCAGCCAATCAGCGGCGCGCTTGCTGGGGGGCGGGCGGGAGCAGCCGTTGGCGGCGGGAAGCGGCGCGGCGCGGACGCGGTGGGTGCGGGCCGGGGATGGGGCCGGCGGGCGGTGAGGGGCGGTGGGGGGAACCTCCCCTGGCGCGGGAGCTGAGCGTCGGGAGAGTGGCGAGGGAAACGCGGCTCCCAGTGAGCCGATGGTGACAACAAAAACAACTTGCGCGGAGAGGTTTGAACAACAAGGCGGGGCGGTAGAACCAGCCCGGAGCGTTCGCGCTCTGAGTTAGCCGTGCTGCCATTGCCTCCCGTGCCCTGACGCTGCGTCTGTTCCCGCACAGGTCTGGCACAGCGCTATGGGTAATGCACCGGCGGAAGATGAAGTAACACTCTTTGAAAGAGATATGAAAGAGTTTTGGATCCAGTTTAAAATCAGTTATGGCACTGAACAGAACAACCAGACTTCAGCTCTGAGAGATTTGTGCAAGGAGACTTTAGAAGCTCTTACAGGTACAAAGGCTCTATGCTCCTGTTAACTCTGCTTTTTGCAAGTTGTCATCAAACTTTTTCAGATAACTGAAGTAACTTTCCCTTACAGAGAAATGGTCCAAGAAGCTGAAAGAAGAGGACGTGATGATTGACAAAATTCACGAGTATAACAATGGTACGGTTATTTATTGTGTCCAACCTTTATAAAATTAACTTAGTATAGCTGAATAGTATGTTTAGCTTCACGTTTGAAAAGGTAAGTAATAACATCAGAATGAAGACAGAATTAAACCCAAACATAATGGGTTGATTACAATATAAATTTACAATGTAAATTTCAAGTCAAAATCAATTTGTTGAAAAACTTCCTTGATGATGCAAAAATATAAGTTTTCTGCATAGAGCATAAGTATTTAAAACAATAGTGTCAGATTTTTTGACTGCAGTAGGAAAAGTAAATTAAATTGCTTAGTAAAGCTAAGTATTGTGAAGTTATTTATGTCTTTTCCATATTAGTAAGAGAATACTGTGAGCTCATCAGTCTAGGGTTAACTTGGCTGAATTTTGTAAACTTCAGAATATCAGGTAAAAATGATTGCAGCTCTCATATCAGTCAGTGTTTCCATTCTTGGCTTTCTGTCATTACCTGTGGGCAGGAGCCACCATCTTCATGCTTTGAGATGTATGTAGTGCTGGCACCAGAAACAAATTTCATCTCATTTAAGTATCAGAGCAGCTCCACACTTTGTAGCTTCTCTTAGGAATGACTTCTCTCTGCAGCTATGGTAGCATGCATTCCACTGTGTTTTATTAATACAAATAATTTCAAACTACTTAAGTTTTAAATAGCAGGGACATACTTAATCAACTGTGTATGTTCATATTTTCTTGCCTCCTTTCAGAGATTCTCCAGCAGAGCAAATACATAGCAGAAAAGGAAGAGCAGTTGACAGAAATAAAATCAAAGCTAAATCAAGAACAAGAGCAGCAGAAGAACTTGACTGACAGCATCCAAGAGCTTAAACAAGAGTTGATGAAGAAAATGGAAAGTAAGAAAGAAAAGGATAATAAGTAAATTTTTGTAACTGAAGGAGGGGTTGTTTTTAACACTTGCTCTTTGTGGCTTTTCTGCTGTTCTAGATGGTTTCTATGTGCTTGTTTTGCCTTTGATACTTACGATGGACTTTTAAATTCTAGTAAAATCTTCTAAAAATAAAGCTGCCAAGGAGAAACTGGAACAAGTGAGCAAGATTAAAACTTTGTTTAAAGAGCATCTTGCATTGGAGATGCGTAGAATTCCAGGTAGGTTTCTGTAGCTTCCATAGTTTCTGTGTGCACTGATACAATGTGGTTCATGTTGGATTGTGCAGTGAAGAGCACATAGCTTACACACTTGATCAGTTGGATTAGCCCAGCTAATACATTTGTCCTTCAAATGGCAAAATATGCTAAAATGCATTTGTCTTGCAAAGAGGCCAGGGTTGCTTAATTTGTCAGTGTTCTAAGAATATTAATTGAAACTAACTTTGTATTGTGATTTTTAATCATCATTGTGACTCTGCAGCAGAAGTTAATTAATTACTTCTTTTTGTGTTCATTTTAGATGAGCAATTACAGTTTATATTCAGACACATTGACCACAAAGATCCTGATAAGCCATATGTGTGTACCCTTTCCATAAATGAACAAGGTGACTATGAAGGTATGTGTATTTTGAATACTTAAATTAGAGGACTGAATCTGACACGTCTATTTGAAAAAAGGAGAGGAGTAAAGTGCAATTTAATTGTAATCTTTTATCTTCCAATTGCCAAATGAAAAATCTTGCAATGGTAATATTGTTTCTTTAATTATGTTTGTCTTGTTAACTTACATGAAAATAGGACTGCTTAAATTCGCTGCCCTCCATTTGTGGAGATGCTGTTTACTTTGTATCAAGCAAAGCAAGAGAAGGACCACATACAGAGATGAGGATGCTTCATTTGCAGTTTGTTTCTGCTACAGTTTCTGCCTGTGTATGCTGACAGGCATATTTCAACTTGTTCTAGAAGCCTAGAGGCAAAAAAAGGGTGACTGATATAGGTGAAAGAATAAAACTTGAAATCCAGCATTCCCCTTCTGTAAGGGCACAGCCTTTTGGATCTCAAAGCTGGTTTGGCTATATGGATCTTAGTTCATTTATGGAATTTGAGTGCTGGATAGCTTCTAGACAGATGCTACTGGGGCTCTGCCATGCCTCTGGGTATGAACTGAACAGATTTCTGGTTTTACTGATTCAGACCTAAACTATTGAAGTTAAAAGTCTATCATAAGCTGGGCTACATCAGTTTACAATCTGCTTGTCTGCAGAGCAACAACATGGTTTAGGAATGTGTTTCAGTTCTTGAGTAGGCTGTGGATTCCTGGGAATTGCTGTAACAACTCAGGCAGGAGCACAGCACTGAGTGGGAGGTCAGTAAAGCAAAAAACCTGTTAAGTTCTTTGAGGCTTTCTCTTTGCTGAAAGAAAATGAGGCTTCTCCAAAATAATGCAGGTGGAAGTGAAAACATAAAATGACAAGAAACTACATTAGTATTTCATAGGTGCAGGAAAACACTGGTATGGATTTATTCTTTTAATAGTAGTCTAATATTTTGCAAATTTGTGTCATTCTAGTGAATTCCTGTACTCCTCCTCTGGACTGTATTGCAGAGTTACAGCTTAAACTGAGAGAAACTAACAATTTTTCTGCATTTGTTGCCAACATCAGAAAAGCTTTCACTGCTTTATCATATAAACAGCATGCATGAAACTGGTTTGTACCTCTCTTTCTGGATGTAGAGCACTCTTACTCCCTTCCTGTTGGTGAAATGGTGTATTTATCAATGTTTGACTCCTAATTTCTAAATAAAGATAATGAAAGCAGTATTTTAATCCACTGTTATCTGGACACATTTTGAATCATTCTTTGAACATTGGTATCACCAACTACTGCCTTAACTGAATGTCTCTGGACATGTAAATTTTGATCCATTACGTGCATTAATGATGCAATGGTTTGTATTTAGCTGCCCCAGGGAGATACACAAACTACAGAAGCTACTTTATTTTGATTATCTTTTCCAAAAGCATTGATGTGTCTTTAAAGTTTTTCCATATTTGAAGTAGGCCTGAAACGTATTAAAAAAAGTGTGCTGAAGCTTAGCACTTACTTCAGTTACTTGTGTCATAGGTCATTGTCTTGATTTTTACCTTAACTTGTACTGTACTGTGTTAGCATTTCTATTCATGCATCTAAATGGTTGTTTTTCTTCTGGTCTGTTAAACTTTGTCATTGGAAATCTTTTGACATGGCAAAGCCTGAAGTATAGTGTATTGAAGTATGAAATATAGTGGTGACAGATAAATCATGTGTGTATTTTTAATCTTATCAAGAAGACTATTACTACCACAATGCTCAGCTTTGATTGAAAATATTCTTTTTCTATCCTGTAAACTGTTTTCATTTTTACAGAAATATTTAAAAGGACTGTTATAACAAGAAAGAAAATGCTTCATTTGATAATATACCATAGTTCAAATAAAGTCTTGATGAAGTTCAGTCCTAGAAATTCTAGTGAATCAAAAACTAATATGTACGACCTAGTCATTTAGGCATGTTTAAATGTGGTGATCAGATCAGATCTGATCTGATCAGATATTCTTAGTACAGTTGGGAATATTTCCCAGTCACATGTGAACTGTATTTTAAATAATTTGGTTTGTCTGAACTTAACCATATAGCTTGATGGGTGCACCACAGACTTACACGCTCATCTTCTAGGAGCACAACTTAACAAAAAAAGTAAAAGAGATAATCTTCCATTTCTTCTTCTCTATAGGGCATAATTTGCTGTTTTCCTAAGTAGTGCATCATTTTCCTTGGTGTGCCCTATTGATTTTTTTTCTTGTGTTACAGCCAGTTATACACAAAGAACAGTAAGAAAGGTAAAGGTGCCAATTGATTACACTGCAATTTTGGAACAGAATAGCAGCAGAGAATTACTAAGCATTACTATAGTGACATCTCAAATAAAACAAATCCTCAGTTTCTGCTTTGTGTCCTCTCTCAGGACAAACCCTGTGTCCTCTCTTAGAATTCTGTAACTGGCAATGGTACAAAAAGATGAGGGATGGGAACCTGACTTTAGGGTCTCATTGTTCATTAGTGGATTTGCTTTCTTTTCAATCAGATTAACAGGATTTAAGTTGCAGGTACTTCTCAGGAAGAATGCTCTGTTTGTGCCATACTGTCTTCTCTACTGTGTCAATAAACTGCATTTATTCAGAACCTTGAAATTGTCTAAATTAGTTTTGTCATTGTAATACCGTAAGATTGCTGTGAACTCACTTGTGATTTATAACTTTTTAAAAGGCTTGTGGAACTTGACATAACAAAGATATGCATGCATAAATCAGTCCCACAGGCACAGTAAGAGTATGTATTTCAACTGTGTGAATAAGCTATACTAAATGATTGTGGTATTAGTCTTACCTTTTTGAAAGCAATAGTTGCAATTCAGTTATATGAGGCATTACTGCTAGAACGGGATTGTATGCCTGAAGGGTTGGGAGGAATGGCTCTGATTGCCAGACAGTGGCACTCCATTCTTTTTATCCATATTATCCCTAATTACTTTGACAGCTCTGTACACAGAGAACTCTTTAGAGTCTTGAGCTTATTTATAAGTTGTTGTAGCAGAAGCAGAGGCAATGAAGCCTGATTTCCTCCAGATCTGTGGGTTTGTCCTTGAACAGTGCCATTCTCTTCACTGTGATATTCAGCTCTTCTTTACACTCTATGGATCAGAGCCATAGAACCACTCCTGAGTTATGCCATTTGGCTCCTGCTTTGCTGCTGCTGAAGCTGCAGGACACCAGTTGCACCCTGCCTACTCTTTGTCCAGATCTGTGGTTCTCCTCTGTACCTGACTGCTAACTTTAAGTACATTATAAGGACAGGGATAACTGCAACACAATCTTCTTTTCAAATTTGGACTAATTGAGCAACACATTCAAAAGTTGCTGGGGAGACTGACAGAAGCTAAAAATAGTGTTTAGCCATGCAAGCATGTGGTAGTTTTTCATATGACGTTTTTATGGATATACATAAGTAGTTATGCACTGAAATGATTAATTGAAATACGATACAATTAACTTCAGTGTGATTTTCTCCCTCTTCAGTCACAGCATGTTGAACAATGCAAATTGCTACTAACTCACCTGTTTTGTGACTGATAGATAACTCTCTATGTGGAAACATGCTCTTTGACTGACTTGCACTAGCTACTGGATCATGAGCTCAATTCTTCATTATCCATTATCTTCCACTCCACAGCTTCAGCTGGAATAACTGGCTGGGCAGAGAAACAGGTCTGTTAGAACACCAGCTATGTATCACTATTTTGATTTAGAAGCATGCTACATTTCATACTGATGGCAATTGCAATTACCATAAAGGAAATCAGGCTTTTCAGAGAAGACTGCATACATTAACCTTTTGGCTAAGTGAGGAATAGGTCGAAGTGATAGGTGACCTCGTGGGTGGTTTACTAGCTAAGTTACAGCACAATACATTAATGTAAATGCTTACCTCATAGGCAAACAACTAATACTTATCTTCCCATGCAAAGCTAATGAGAGAATTTTGCTTGTTTAACTCCATGTATGACCCAACCTTCTAATGGAAAGACAATGCAGCAAATAGGTAATTTTATTTTTTTAGTATTGTATCAGCATGACTTACTGGCCTGTATTTTCCTGCACTTATTGCAAAGGCAGATAAGCCATCTGATCAACTCATGTTTCTAAAGGAAAGAAGAAAATCCTCTTCTGGCATGCAATTCTCAATGCTGTCAACTGCAACTCTGCAGCAATTACCCATCTTTTTAGGCTCCAGCCTTCTCTAAGGTTAGTCCACAATTCTGACAGTCTGCTTGGGACTGTAGTACACTAGGCATCACCTTTACTAAGTGTTGTGCTAATGGCATCCCATTGAATCAAAATATGAAATCCACAATCAATGTGAATGCAATTTACACAAGAAAAATGGTTTACTGTTCCCAGCTGCTCCTGCTGTTTCCCTTTGCTGTTAGCAACCCATTCTTCTTCTCCCAGATAATACAGTTAGCAGTCTATAATAGTTACCTGACAAATCTTACAGAGGAGTTCTTCTATGCAAAACAGCTGCTGTGTTTGTGCTGGATGCTTGGACAAGTTGCAAGAGTAGTGCAGACCATCACAGCTTAACTATACATAATCTCAATGGTTCACATGCTCCTTAACAAAAAGCCTTAGAAAAAATGAGATTCAGTTAGTAGGAAATTGGTATTAAAGTGGAACAGTTATTAAAAAAAAAAATCATGTGAAAAGGCTGTTTGTAGTCTGGACAGCAGTCCTGGCTGTTATTTACATCCACCCAGTCCAGGTGGTGCCACAACTTGGGTCATCACTTCCTCAACATTGCTGAAGGACCAAATGTTGGACCTGTAAGTGAGCTAGACTATTTACATGCAAATCCTTTCTGGAACTGAAATATGAATACACTGTCCCATAAAGTAACAGCTATGGGCAGTGATCTCCCCTGGGAGATAGTTCTGTGAGAGACCACATGTAAAAATGAGAACTAAATGCTTTGGATGAATTAAGTTTAAATTAAGCCGAAATGAGGGACTAAACAAAAGTAACTATGAAATAGCAAATAGCTGCTTTCTGGTAGGAAGCAGCTCCTTCAAAGACACCTTAGGAGACCCAACAGTAATTATAATTACCATTACTGTGAATTAAAAGGTGAGGTTATCCTCATCATAGGCTCAGAAATAGGACATAAAATTGCTAGTTAGATTAATGTGAGAGAGCTGACGCAAGTTTAATTAAGGAAGGATCACATTTCATCTTTGGGTTTCAGGACTTTTTTTGTGAGGGGAGATTGCAAAAAGTTCATGTAAATATGCAAGAAATATAGCAGTTGTGCAGGGACTTTGCTTGGTTGTTCTGGAAAACTGAGAAATAATCTGCACAGTATTTTCTAGGGAGAGTACCTTACACTTTGAAATGTTTAAAAAGCATAAAAAACCTCACCCACTGTGGTGTTTTTCAGATGTCCATGAAAGAGCAATAATTTAGGAATGTAAATATATGTTGCCAGCCAGTAGCTTAAGAGTACATTACCTTTTCATCTGATCAGTGAACTTTAGCAGTAACATTACAAGTAGGTCATGTTACTCTTAAAACCCCTCAATACTCAACTTCTAATACTTACTTTTATATTACAGTTTCCAGTGACCAAAAGCTAACAGTTCTGTGTCTCACATGTAAACAATAACCTTTGAAAGTCAGAACCTCAGGAACATGTCATTGTTGCACACAACTCTGCATTTAAGAAATCCCTCTACAAGAATCATCATTGGTTTGGCAGACTCAGGGCTGGAGAAGGTGGGCATAAAATACAAATTGGCATCTTGTTCTGTGAAACCCACTTAAGCCACTTAAGAAGGTTACTGGCTGACAAGAGTAGACAGTGTAAAATCTGTCCAGGGGCAGGACTAGCTGCAGCAGAATGGATCACCAAAAAGACCAAAAACCCCAGCACAATTTAGGGAAACAAGAACCCTCCACCCACCCTAGCAGACCTGGGACTAACTTCCCTCCACATAAGCTCCCAGCCTCTGTCCATCACAGCATGATGAGCTACTGAGTCGTGCAGAAATTTGCTCATCTGGTACAGCTACACATTTGGATTCCCTTCACTCACCTTCTAAATCTACAGGAAACTGTGTCATTGCCTTCTAACTCTCCTGAAGCAGCTGTCCTCCTGCTGTCCTCTGAGAGCCACTGTTTCCTGTGCAAAGGGTCCTTTACAGACTTAGAGGCAGAGCATAAAGGTCTTTCTCTGTATCACCTTATGCACACACTGGCTCTCCCTTGTGCTGCATAAGTTGAGGAGCATATGTGGCATAGGGAGCAAAAGACATTAGACATACCACTGGACGATATTCCACATAAGTAAATCTCTTCATAAATACCTTCAATAAACATGAATTGAAATGCTATATTAAATGTAACACAAGAGTCTCTATATATTATCACAGAGCCATATTAACAACTACAATTGCTAAAGGTCTACAGTTCTTTAACACAATGCACACCCCATTTGCAAAAAGGCTTAC